GTTTGTTCTTGTATTTAGCATTTTTTTTGTTTTATTTTGTATTTTTATGTTGTGAAGCGTCCTGAGATCCAAGGATGAAAGGTGGTATATAAATTCAATATATAAGAAACAGAGAAAGCAATCTGATGATGTCTTAGGTACACCATGAATAACCCATTAAATAAATAAGCAAGCCCCATAGTCCTTGGCACAAAATAGGTAGAGCTTGGGAAATGTTTTCAGCTGTTTGTAACAGGCCACCCAGAAATTCAAGGGTTGAAAAGAATCACTTTGTTTTATTACATAAATTGGCAGAAAGTGCAAGAAATAAAACACTTCCTGGCTCACGACAATTGGACTTTCGGTTTCACAAGGAAAAAAATGCTATGTTTAGATGGTTCTACAAACAAAGAATCTGTAACATGTAGCTCTTTTGAAAATATCCATGCTAGGACGGGAAGGCCAAACCAAGAGGCAAGTTTAAAGAAGCTTCAGATTAGCCAGTGTAACGTGCGGAAGTTTTAGAGTGAATAGAAACTCAACTTGAATTAGTTTAAAATGTAAAGCGCAAGAACTGATACAGACCAGCTGACAAATAATAAAAAAATGACTCTGAAGACTAGCTGAAATAAAAAGAACTAGGAAAGGAATCAGGATTTTTTAGGCTTCTGAAACTGTGTGGAAACTGAGCATAGGACCAACTGAAAACGAGCCAAGAATAGGCTGAAGACAATTTCAAAATACACATTAATGTTGCGAAGGAATCCTTTTGCTCTAGTTCAGAAATGATCCCATTTCATTCTATAGCCAGGCTCTGTTAAACAGAGGCGTCTCAGAAAACTGGAAGTCCTACGAAATTGACAATTTAGCAGAACAAGCAGCTGCATGCAGTACGCACATTAAGTACAGGTACGTATCAGGGAGGTGGAACTCAATCTTGTGACATCATAAAGAAAAGTTAATAGAAAACCTGAATGTGGCCCCCATTTTAAATACCCTGAGAACCATCCTAAGGAAGGCAGCATAAGGACAGATCTAAAATGCTTCCACTAATATAATATTTTATAAAGCATGCATGTTCCTAGAAGGGAAGCATATGCGATATTAACTATAGAAGCAAAAGACCTATTCTGAGATTGCTTTTTCACAACTTCCAAAAGCACTAAAATTCAGCACTGCCATGCTACAAGAAGGCACATGCAACAGCAGAAGAAATTAGATGCATCTACATACTAGGCCAAATAAGAAAGATGCCATTATAAGGAAGAAGAAAGAATGAACACCTAGCAGGTTCCAAGTTATAAACAGTGATCTCTAGAGCCCTACTGTAAGGGACTGGCTGTTGCAATGGGCAACCCAAGACCACATTTAAAGAGGATGGTGGCACTAAACTCCAGCTGAGGTCTCAATACCGCATTAAACAAAGTCAGAGATACAGATCCAGGAAATCAGATTGATTTCTTTTTTCTCCCACATGCTAAAGATCCAGTAAGGTAAACTGTAAAGATGTAGAGAAAGGCTGAGCCTGTAGAATTTGCTTCAAGGAGGCAAACATTTCAACTTGACTTACGTGAGGATGTGTTTGATGCTTTTGTCAAAACTGGTATCATGTTGGTGGGTTCTGCAAAACAAAACAAAAATGAGAAGCAGTTACACATGCCAGGGCATTGCCATGTGTAAAAGGTTGTGTCCTGATGAAACTTGCAGGGAAAACAAAGTCAAATTCTAATATAACCCAAAACGTCTAATATAGATTTTTTTTTGAGAAACAGGGAAGAAATGAAGACCTAGTTCTTCTTAGGACAGTTAGTGAGGTTTGGTTTCTTGCAACTCTTCATTTGCCTTAAGAAAATTACACCTTATAAGTGGATGGATCAGAACAAGTATCATATCAATTAAATATCATAAATGGCAAAACTGAAAAGGGTTGACATAAGTGAAGGCTGTGTAGAGTTTGGCAAGCCATGTCCTGGTGAATTAATTTTACTCGATTGCTATTTTGCCTCTGTCTGTTCCAACATGGGGAATTATATTAGAACTTGGAAAATGATAGATATGTTCTCTATCTGGAACACAGAGTTGAATCAACAGATATAGATGTGCGCAAATGTCTTGTACAAAAAAAGGGAGGGGGGAGAACAAGGCACAAGTATAAGATATGGGAGACCTGGTTTCACAGAAGTGTTTATTGTGGGCATCCATTGATCTCGAGAGACAATGGAAAAGTGTACCATCCAGGGTAAAGTCAAACCATTGGAGAATTACAGCACCTGCTCTGGCTCTACAGACCAGTATGGGAAAGACATGTTTTATTGCCGCTGGGGCAGATGAAGGCGTCTGGTGTCACTGGTGCAGACGCACCATGGCATTTCTTCTCTCTGCGTTCTTCCCAGTCATTTCTCCTCTGATCATGCAAAAAGCATCTAGATGATCACAAGCTGAAGTTGAGCCAGCACTGCAATATGACTACTAAAAAAAACCTAATGCAGTTTTAAGCTGTGTAAATAGAACTGTACAAAGTAGCAAGAGTTTCACCCTATTCTGCGTTGGTCAAGCCACATCTGGCATACTGTGTTGAGGTTTGGGCACCAAATTTTAAAGAGGGCACTGACAAATTGGAGCACACCCAGAGGAGGGGGACAAGGATGCCAATGACCTGAAACCTATGAGGAGCAATTGGAAGAGTTGGGTATGCATAGCCTGGAGAGAAAAGGCATTCGAGGGGGAAACATGCTAACAGCTTTCAAATATCTGAAGGCCTGTCACACAGAAGATGCAACAGACTTGTTCTTTGTTGCTCCAGAGGACAAGACTAGGAGCAGGACTAGACCTTCTAGGTAGAAATTGCAGGAAAGCTGATATTTGGATAAATTTTCTAATGGTACAAGCTGTTTGACAGTGTAATCATGAAGAGAATGTAGACTCTCCTTTGCTGAAGCTGAACATGGTGGATAGCCATCCATAAGTAGCCATCTATTAGGGATTCTGTCATTGCATCTGCATTGAGCAAGAGGTTGGGCTAGATGACCCCCCCCCATCCAAGACCTAGAATTCTATTCATGCAGAAGTGGTACCAAAGAAAAAATGTTTTGAGTGTCTATTTTCAGAATTGATTTTTTTCCAACTAATGTAGTATCTCAATGAGCACACATACAAAAATACTTCAGTTAATTCTGGACACTTAACTCTTGTGTAACACATGAACCCTTTGACAAAGCAACTATATATAACCATTAGTCACCTCCCAAGATGATTGCTAGGGTTGTTCTTAGGGATACCTGAATAGACAAGTCTTTCAATTAAACTGTAAACTTTCAACTCGTAGTATGAAAAGCCATAATGCATGTGTATCTCACCTCTCTATATGAGCTAAATGGTGTCTATAGTTCAACATGAAACATGAGAAAAGACATGGGTAATCTTATTTCAAGATGCATCAGGGTTTTCTGGCTTAGAATGGTAAGAGCCGGCAGAAGAAATTTCAGACATTTGAAGGAATGAATATGCCAGATGGAATATGATAGATGTAGTTATGGCAATCCAATTCTTCAGATCTGCCAGACTCTTAGAAATACTGAATGCTATGCAAAATACAAGGAAGTTCCTCTATTAATTGTACTCATTCCCAGTCATACAAAGCCACTAGGTGTCCACACAAAATACTTTTATTACTTCTCTCCAATGTACAGTTCAAGGCTTCCAAGACTAACATACAGCCTCTCTTCCATCCTTGGGGATGCTGTAGAGGGCTCCAGATTACCTGTTTATTGAAAATTCATCCTGATTTAATTGCACAATGCTTATGCAGAGGTTAGAAGAATGTGTCCGGTCTTTATTGAACATCTGTTCTTATTTGTTTTCAGGAAAGTAATGCAACAATGAGCATTCTTCGTGATTTGCTTGTGTAGTGTCTTCGAATTAATCATTTGTTCATCCCACATTTTTCAGTGCATTTCCCCATCACTTTCCTAACAAAAAGTCCAGGAGTTTTTTTAGGAAGCGCATTTCTTACAGGAAACAAATGTATCATTCAGTCAAATAAAGGCCAAGTTTATAGAACCAACTTAAATATTAGTGAGCTAATAATATACACGAAGGATTTAATTTGATAGTCACATGAAGCTGAGTCACATAGACCCTGAGACAGTAACTACTAAACTCTATCATAACCACATTTATGTTACAGCTGGTGTAAAATCACTGTTCTAGGAAAAGCTAGTTCTTGGCTCCATTAGAAGAAAACAGGAATGGGATAAACAGAAAACAGGAAGAAGTTACTTGAAGGAGTGCAATACTTGCTCCAGTGCTTGCCAAAGGCAGATGGCAACAAGATTTCTGGAAGAGCTACAATTGCCTTCTAAATATTTGCCAGCCTTCAAGAAATACACAGAACCATTGTCTTCCTTCATCTATGTTCACAACAGCAAAGCATTTCGTCTAAGGGAGCCAATTCATAATTCAATCTTTGATTGAAGCACCACAAAATTCCCTGCAAATAAGAAATGTTCACCCATGCTTCTTCCCCTTCTACAGGTGAGCAGAAGGAATAAGCATATATTTAGAAGAAAATGAGAAAACAGATCAAACAGGTATCTGTAGCCTAAGAAATCCTCAGAAAAGTTCAGCCACCCTAGATACAATCGATTGTTCTAGCACATAGATTTGGCTAGCTGATGGAGAGGAGTTCCTTGCTCCCACAGGAAACTCAGCAGGCATTGCTCCTGGAATCGGAACAAGTCCTCTGCTCAAGTCCTCAAATAATATGTTTTTTGTTTTCTTTAAACCCTAATCCATAGAGGAGGATGAATGATCTTTGGTCAGCTTCCTGTTAACAGCTGGTTAAGAATTTAAACTTATTTACAAGCCACATTTCAAACTTTTCTGAGGGGCAAGGACCAGTTCATTTTATAGGCAGGTGTGGCATACTAGAACTATCATTATTATTCTAGCTTTAAGCTCTTGAAGCTTAACTACAGTAGGTAACCAACCCAGCAATTATCTTATTCAAGGCAAGAGATAAAGCTGTAGCTCAGTGGTAGAGCACTGTGTTTTGCATGCAAAAAGGTCCCAGGTTTAGGTAAAGGTCTAAACCACTGAGCCTCTTGGGCTTGCCGATCAGAAGGTCGGTGGTTCGAATCCTCACGACGGGGTGAGCTCCTGTTGCTCGGTCCCTGCTCCTGCCAACCTAGCAGTTCGAAAGCACGTCAAAGTGCAAGTAGATAAATAGGTACCGCTCCAGCGGGAAGGTAAACGGCGTTTCCATGCACTGCTCTGGTTTGCCAGAAGCGGCTTAGTCATGCTGGCCACATGACCCGGAAAAACTGTCTGCGGACAAATGTCGTGTCCCTCGGCCTATAGAGCGAGATGAGTGCCGCAACCCCAGAGTCATCCGCGACTGGACCTAATGGTCAGGGTTACCTTTACATTTACCTTTAAAGGGCCCCTGGATGGTTAAGTCCAGTCAAATCTGATTATGGGCTGCGGCACACCATCTCCGCTTTCAGGCCAAGGGAGCCAGCGTTTTTCCGCAAACAGCTTTTCCGGGTCTTGTGGCCAAAATGACTAAACTATTTCTGGCGCACGGAACACAGTGTCCTTTACCTCCCAGGTTCAACACAACCGATGCTAAAGACTACTATGTATTTTGCTGCTCAGCGTGCATTTGGACACTTTCAATATAGGGTCAGCAGACTTTGCATCATGGTCCTTAGGGCAAGGAGGCCTTTGCCTATGTTAGGATACAAGTGGATGACAATTTTAATCAAACTGGAGGACTGAACCTTATACAACTGCACTGATTTTAACTACTCCTTGATTTGTTGGCTTCTTGGAATTCTCAAGCAATGCTGGGTATGAGGCTGCTAGCCCTTTCCATGCAAGTCTAAATATAGATTCAAATTTATTACGTTTGGCATACATAGCTTAAAATGTTGTCCTTAATTTATAAGAGATGTTATCAGTGCCCTTCATTAGAGTTTCATAAGATACTTACAGTGTGACAAAGCCCACACAATAAAGGTGTAGCAAGACTCTTTGTAGAGAAAAAAAGTGACAAATTAGTTGGTGAAAAGCAATTATCATAAATGTACCTAAGCCTCAGTGTTTGCTATTTATATCACCCTCTTGGAGAACTTCACACATCTTTCCTGACCTCAATTACTCTCTCCTAAGGAGGGCTGCATTTTGAAACATGGCAAAATAACACTCTTTATTGTGGTTTTTAGAACAGAGAACCTATTAGCATTAAAAAGCTAAATATGTATGTGACCTTTAGTTTCCCTCCCCCCCCCCCGATTCTATTAATTGGTTTCAAAATATTATTTATTTGAAGGTGACCTAGGTATCCAAATACCTGCTAGTAAGGCAACCTTATCGGGAAATACCTGGCTAAGTGGAAATAATATTCCTGGGAGGACAATAAGCTGAAGGGTAGACGAGACTGCCAGCATCACAACAGCTAGCAGAAAAAAGGAGAAATAACCTGTGATAAAAACAGAATGAACAGCAGCCTTATTAAGGGGGAAAATCTTTCAAATATAGATGGAAAAGGCAGCCTCTAGAACATTCACATGCCCCTGTTGGGAAGGAAACCCCAAACAGAGCTTGCCTTCATGCAGATCCTCAACCCTTAAAACTTAAATAACAAGATGGTGGTGAAAGAAAAAAATGAAGAGACAATGTCAGGCATCATCTGCCCCATATACAAAAAAAAGTGTATTTTCCTATATTGGTCAGTATTTTGATTTTCAATATGATTTGAATTGTATTTTAAACTAATCGTTTGATTTTGAGTTTTTAATGTATTATATATTTGGTGTTAGCCGCCCTGAGCCCAGTCTTGGCCAGGGAGGGCAGGGTAATAATAATAGTAATTAATGACCACAATCCCTTCCTCCCCCCGCAGGATCCTTCATGCAAAGCTGTGGATTGGAGCAAGTGTGCTGTGCAAACCAGATTAATGGGCAGCAATGGTACATTCACCGAATTGTACATCACTTTCTTTGAGATTAATGGAGATTAATACCACTTTCTTGAGATGAGATAGCCCCCTTCAGAAAAACAATACAAGGCATTCCCAACGGATAACCGGGAGTGTTAACTTTTGACAAGCAAAATCACAGAGCAATACAGAGCTATCTTGAAACAACTCTCTTTTCCATTCAAGAGAGAGTAGAATGTTCCACAGTTATTTGGAGATTTTTCAGAGTGAACAAGGCTGAGCAACAAGGGGTCTGTAATTGTCAAAATCAACTGACAACTACAACAGGGGTCTTTGTAGACCTCTGTTACTATTCTCTCCATGTGCACACCAACCTTCCAATTGTTGTGAACACAGTTATCGTTCTGATCTTCTACTTGCTCACCCCCTGACCAACTGTCTTGAAACAGTCCTCTCAAATTGTGTACAATTTCACCAGTTCTCCAATTAGATGTTGAGTGAAAATAATAGCATATACTGTAAAAAAGGCAAAGGTAAAGGACCCCTGGACGGTTAAGTCCAGTTAAAGTCAACTATGGGGTTGCAGTGCTCATCTCGCTTTCAGGCCGAGGGAGCCGGCGTTTGTCCACAGACAGCTTTCCGGGTCATGTGGTCAGCATACCTAAACCGCTTCTGGTGCAACAGGACACCATGATGGAAACCAGAGCGCACGGAAATGCCATTTACCTTCCCGCCACAGCAGTACCTATTTATCTACTTGCTTTCGAACTGCTAGGTTGGTAGGAGCTGGGACAGAGCAATAGGAGCTCACTCTGTTGCTGGGATTCGAATCGCCGACCTGATCGGCAAGCCCAAGAGGCTCAGTGGCTTAGACCACAGTGCCACCCGTGTCCCTAGCATACACTGTACAGAGTCTGCAAAAGTAATGTCGGAATTCAGGGCAGTATGATAAGCTCCACAATTGCAAGAGACCAGTGGGCATGTCTCTAGATAGCCTATCCCTACCCAATGCAGAACTCTTTATTATTGTCATAATATAAATCCAGTAATAATCACTACAAGTAATTGTTTTACCACCATGTTCCGGGTGTCCACTGATAAATCTGGCTCAGTTTTAATCTTATCATATCTAAGTCCTTCTCTCATACACAAAAACAAATTTTAGCCTGTTTCCTCAAAAGAGTCTGAAACAGCAAGTGCCAAGTATTATTGTTATTAACGTGAAAGATGGTTGCTATGGTTGTACCAGCAAGCAGTTATGGAAAATCAGAACCTTTTATTGGAAAAATGTATTGTACAAAGTATTTTCTTTACACGATCAAAAACTTGTCATCTTGGTTAGTTTGCATTTCTTAGTAATTATGCCAATTTTATTTAGCTATAGTATCTTCAAGGCCCTCACTGCTACAAAAATGCAACTGTAACAAATGATGTGTGTATTGTGGTGGAATTTTTTGATGTACCTTTTAGGTTTCTGAATGAGATCCCCCACATATTCTACGATTCTTTCCCCATTTCTTTGGCTAGAACACAGTATGGGAATAACCTTATGCTCAGGCATGTGTCCATTTATCTGAGTCATTACTTCAGCCTAGCATGTCTGGCTTAGTCCTGACTCTCTGGGATATTGCTCGGAACTGGTAAATCTATTCCAAGTGTGAAACGGTGCAGATTTATGAGCAAACAACTCCTTTATGCATGGGAACTATGTAAGTTTACAAAGAAAAATAAAAATCTGCTCAACCCATCATTCCAATATTTATACAACAGTAATCCAGCACAATAATTAATGTAGTGACAGTCTAAAGTACCATGAATATTGTTACTTTATTTATTTTTAGGTATCTTTTTATAGTTCATCTGGATTACATGTATACAGATCAACACTTTAATGCATTTATGGTCTGCATGGAATCTACCTTATTAATATTTGAGTAATGAAAGCAATAGTGAGCAAGTTGAACAAGAACTCCAGGAGAAACTCCTCAATACCTTCATCCTTGAAAATATTGTAATTTGAGTAGGAAAAAAATGAGGAATCAATTAATATGCTACCACACTGATGCCCAAGCCACCCGCATACCTGATTGCCTAGCAGCTTTGACAATATTCAACAATATAGACAAGGTAATGACGCCAGGCTTTGTTCTTCCTTATGGTAATGTATGAATTGGTTTAAAGATTTGAAGGAGGTTGGGGAAGGGTTGCTGCTAATAATCAAATGTGTATACAGGTAGATCACATCTTATGCCAATTTCCCTTACGCCATTTGCAACTTTATGCGGATCGCCAAAATTTAATTAAATTAAAAAGGGGCGAGGGGACGGAAAACTTGCCTGGAAAGGCCACCTGATATCTCACAAGACCTTCCCAAAGCCCAGTAAGCAATGAGGTTACAAAAGCTACCTGCTTTGCATGGGGGGAAGTAAAGCCTGCTCAGTACTGGGTTCAAACAGGTTGGGATGGTAGCACAGGGCTCTTCCCTAGGTCAGTCTGGCTTTTTTCGCTTATACATGCAACGGCCAGCAACATAATCCTGCATAATATGTAATCTACCTGCATGTGGTCCAGTATATGGAAGAACAATGTATTTGGTGGCGTAAGCAAATTCTGGGAAAGGTAATACAGTGGTATCTTGGTTCTCGAACGAAACACATTCCGGAAGCCTGTTCAGCTTCCGAAACGTTCAAAAACCGAGGCACGGTTTCCCATTGGTTGCAAGAGCTTCTTGCACCCAGCGGAAGCCGTGTCACACATTTGCGTTCCAAAAAAACGTTCAAAAACAGAAGCATTTACTTCCGGGTTTTTGGCGTTCGAGAACCTAAATGTATGGCAACAGAGGTGTTCGGGAACCGAGGTCCCACTGTAGTAATGAAATAAAAATATTAAAATTTCAGTTGTTTAGTCCAGAGCTTTAGTTTATGCAAATTATAGAACACATTAGCACCACTTGCTATTAAATTTCAGCTACTTCAATGGACCTGCGACCATAACTATAAGCTTTGTATCAAGCATGAACTCATAAACTATACACTAAAAAAGCATGTAGAATTACAGTAATGACCAAAGGGTCTAGTATGTGGCTTTCCCTTCTAAACTACATTTTAAAAAGGAGCATTTCAAAAGAGTTAAATTCTTTCAGGTTTTACGAAGCTTAATGAGCCCAAAGTTCCATTGTGTTCTGGTGTGTTTAAATACAGACATATTGCTGCTGTC